TATATGTTTAAATATGTCTCCAGTGTATTGCATTTATTTTCCTTTGGAACAAAATATGAAACACGTCTTTTGCATTGTGATCAAAGCAAATCATGTTTGAATCAGGGTCGGGATGAAAATGTGAAAATCTACAATTTTGAGACGAACTTTCATTTCAAATTGAAAATCTAACTCTTTCCGACAAGTCAACTTCAATGCGATGGGTGATGCTTGAACAACAGATACAGAGTACATGTCTATGTAAAAAAGAAAATCATGCTTTTTCATTTTTAAACTACTATAAATTTAACAACTTAGTAATTTGCAGTGATATGCATTTATTCTATTATGTAGAATTAACAATGTTTCTATTCATATTCAAACTCGATCAAATAAAATGTCTTTAATATTTAATCTATATCTGGGAACATGGTAGAGATCATTCAGAAAAACGAGCACCTCAAATACTGTACAAAGATACCACAGGAGTTCAACCATTGTTTTAACAAATCCATGTTCCAATTCAGGAAGAAATGGAGCGACTTGCAAAGTGGCAAAGTGACAAAAGTGGCAAAAGTTCGTCTTCAAAAAGGTTTATAACCTCTATTAACAATGCTCTCGGCATTCTGTATCTCTGGAGCATCTCGATGTCATTTAGTGAATCGAGTGGGTTAAACCTATCTCGAAATACTCTTCGGCCAATACGATTGTGGTGATCCAGAATGAAATGAAACATCTTGGTGTTCTTGTACTTTTGCAGACGATGTAGGTGAGATACATATACACTAGGAATACTCAGAACATTAGTGTAGTAGTGGCAAGATTAATTCACCAAACAAGCTTTATTAGCTAATTGGCGAAAATCCTATGCTCTAAAGAGCACGAAATATTGCAGGCACCAATGCAATCTAAGACGTATACAGTATGTGATGCGTTCGCAATATTTAGAAACAAACGTGATTTTTAAGGATTTACAGGCTCAATTAAATGTATATTTTAATCATATTAAATAAATAAAATTGAACAATTTTTTCTATACTATTGATTAATACTTAACAGGTAGTGAAATGAGCGATATAAAACACCACAAAATATCCATTAACATAGATAAAATAACGCTCAAAGATGAACTAGATTTGCGATTTGATTTGCGACAGGGTAAACGTCGTCGCAACTTTTTGTTTAGTTGCGATCAGAAAATCGATAACTTTGCGTCAGACTTGCGATGCGATGGAATGATAATAACATTTTTGGGAAAAAGTTACGTTGCGATGTCTTGCGATGCGATTCGCATGCGATTTTGCGTTGCGACCAGATGATAATGAGGCCTCAGGACGGTGAATATTCTTCATTTTTCTTCAAACATTTCATCTTACCAATATTTATTATGCCTGTCAATTTCAAGAAAATCGCGCTGCTACGTTTGAAAATAATTCAAATTATGTCGTTTTTCCCATTGAGCTCCATTATAAAAATGGAATTTTCAAACTTAATATTTTAAAATTCTACATGGTGAAAAGTTGCATATTGAGTAGTTAGCTAATGTTATGGTGTAAAAAATTCAAACAAAAAGGAATAAAGAAAAAAGCCACGGAGAAGTCTCATTAACATCTCTTTAAAAATGGTTTCAGGTGTCCTGTATTGTAGAAACTCATGTCTCAGTTCAAAGTAGGTATATGCAATACTTTTGTTTAAAAACTTGACCAAAAAATTTATGTCTGCTTTTTTATTGTCGGCCATCTTGGTGTTTTCTTCGTAAAATCATGTCTGTAAATCTTGTCTATGTGTTTTCAGGCAAATCGTTTTAGGGATCAATTTCAAGTTAGATTTTGATCTCTGATATTAATGAGAAATGAGAAAATTAACGGTCAGGTAGACATGCCATCAGGGTACCATCATATCATTTTTTTGAAATTTCAAAATGTGTTAACTCCTGAACCGGAAGTCGGATCACAATTTCGTATTCAGATGCGGAATCCTGAGAAAATTTCCTATAAGACTTATATCCTGGACATTTGATTCGGAGAACTTTTTTTTGGACCTCGTTTTCGGACACTGATATCTCGAAATCGGTTTGAGATATCAAAAAACTAAATCGACCCTAGCTTTCCTACTTTTTTATAAGGAACACATTGAAAAATACCCGGATCGAAAATATTGAAGGACGTCCGAGAAAATCGAAAAAAGTGACAAAGTACTGGATTTGACCTAGTTCTTGACCTTTGACCTAGATAAAAATTTGACCTAATTTCCCAGAAACTAGGTCACATACCCTAACTGACCATGTAATTAGATTTACTCCAAGTCTTCTAGTTACTGAGAAAACGTGCTAATAAGAATAACTAGATAGGAGAAATTGAACAAGTTCAATTCAAGACTCCAGATTCCATTTTTTTATTTATAAAATGATTTTGACATCTGATATAGAAGAGAAAGTGAAATTTAAAGAAAATATTTATGTTCGTCACAACTTTAAAAGCAAAATTTGATCAATAGTAAGGTAATCTCAAAATTAACTAAATTGACCTAGATTTTGACCTTGACCCTTAGCACTCAAAATTGTACTGAAATTTTGATGATTGGCTATTGATTACCATTGACTTAACACAGGATGCTACATTGGTGGCAGCGGTAGGGATTTTTTGGAGATTTCAAAAGGCCATAGCTCCTGAACCGGATGTCTGATTTCAATTTTGTTTACAGATTCGGAATCCTGAGAAGATTTCCTATTACAGATTTTGATCTCTGATTTTAATGAGAAATGAGAAAATTAACGGTCAGGTAGACATGCCATCAGGGTACCATCATATCATATTTTGAAATTTCAAAATGTGTTAACTCCTGAACCGGAAGTCGGATCACAATTTCGTTTTCAAATTCGGAATCCTGAGAAAATTTCCTGTTAAATTGAGACTTATTTCAATAGATTTGGAACAATTTAAATTTCACCCTTTTTTGGAGTCAAATTTCTCAAAATTGGTAAAATTTTCGAGACATAGAGTGAGCGAAATGTTTGAAATATTTAAAGGGAACTATAAATTAATTCATCGCAAGAAATATTGATAGATTAAAAAGAAAATTGAAAATTTGTGAAATTGGAAAAATTGACCTAAATTTTGACCTTTGACCTAGATAAAAATTTGACCCAGTTTCCCAGAAACTAGGTCACATACCCTAACTGACCATGTAATTAGATTTACTCCAAGTCTTCTAGTTACTGAGAAAACGTGCTAATAAGAATAAGAATAATAAGAATACAGGCAAAAGCAATAGACTCCAGATTTTCAATCTGGAGACTAATAATAATAAGAATAATAAGAAAAAGAATACAGGCAAAAGCAATAGACTCCAGATTTTCATCTGGAGTCTAATAAGGTTTGACAAAGTTAAGAACATACTGATAGTATAACTGATACAATATATTTCATGCAAGGTTTTAAATTACAAAAGAAAATACATTATTTTATTAAAAATGGTCAAGTTGTGTGCTCATAGATTTAAGTTTGGTTAAGGGTCAAGTTTCTAAGCCCTTGCGGCCAAGGGGTAACCTTATTTTACCTTAATAATTTTTAAAATATGCAATGTATGGGTCTCATATGAGCTCATAATGATGCATTAACTCTTGTTTCGTCATATTATTCCTAATAAGATTGAAAAATTGTTCAGCAAACCAAGGTACAATCCGTTGATGTATTGGGTCTCTTTCAAAATTTATATATCGTTTTATCAAAGTGCATCATCAATTTGAGAAAAATGCTCAACTAAGCTTATACAAAAAACATTGGTTTTATAGTTGAGAATTTGTATAAAATTGACAAAATGTGACATACTAGTAAACTGTTGTATTTTACCGACAACGCGGGGGTTTGCGGCGATGTAGAATTCAAATGTCAATAAATTCGGAAATATAAAGATATGTGCCTGAAATGTCAGTTACTCCCCAAAGTGTGTTTAATACGTGTACCAAATTTGAAGAAAAATCACCCATGCCTTATATCTCCCTAAAATAATTCTCATGAGTTCTGGGACACCCTGTCCTTGATGTCCCATATTTGACACTTCAAAAGATAAATTCTCGCTGGATAATAGAGGAGTTTCTAAATAGCTTTGAAATCTCGCTAATTCTCATTTTTACATGAGATTTTAGGAGATTTGCACTTTTTTCCTCTAATGAATTACTTTTCTTTATTTTTGATAGCATATTTGGATTCAGTGACATTTTTTCCCATTATAGCTTTGATTTATACAGTTATGTCATTTAAATCATTTTCCATGACATTTAAAAAAACTTGGGCCAAATCTCCATTGGTGCAATGCTGAAATTCATTAAAACCTTGATTTATTTGTATGACAACCAATATTTTCATGTTTAATCACAATATGTACATTGACAGGGCCATCCAATAGTATTCCATTCGAGTTTCAGACAGATTCAACCAACACTTTTTGATAAATCATGAAAGTAAGTGACTATTGCAAGTTTCTAGCATTAAAGTGAGTGGAGGTCTGGCCCTAGAAAATCAAAGACAAGCAAGGGTGACATCTATTATGTAAGCATTTTCAGCTATTTAGAAACTATACAATTGGGTTAAAATGTATTTTCCTTACTAAACACCACTTCTAAAATGGGTTCTTCTCAATTTCAAGGCTCAAAGCAATCACCAAATGAAGTCCGTCCGTCCGTCCGTCCATATCAAGTCATTTAAAGAAATATACTTTAAAACCATTTTTATTTATTTTTTATAATGTACCCCCTCCCGTCCGTCCCTCTGTCCGTCCGTATCAAGTCATTTAAAGAAATATACTTTAAAACCATTTTTATTTATTTTTTATAATGTACCCCTCCCGCCTGATAGAGGTTTTGCTTGACATTGCGGGATCCGCAAATAAGCCTTATTTTGATCAAATTTGCGGGATAATCCTGCGAGTCATGGGACACTTGACAGCCCTGCTATTATTGATGTAAAGATAATAGGTTTTGTCAATGAATAGATAAATGATTATAAAGTGTTTATTTTCAGTTACTTCCCTACCTGATCTGCCACCTAACATCCCCAGCACAACATATGGTAAACTGAGCATGACATCATATCTCAATATGAATGATCTTCTTACCTTCATCAAGGTACAATTTGAACCGAGCATACATGTACTTGTACATGTATATGCTCAAAATTAATTTAATACCAAAATGTAGTATACCATCTATATTGTTGTTTAGGAATAATTACTGTATATTTCCTTAAGATTTTCTTTGAGATGCTAAACTGATCATATTTAGATAACAGAATTGGGAGAGTAACTGAAAATACTTTTGATTTTGCCAGCTTTTCTTTAACTTCAACATGGTACCTGTCACTTGAGGTTAGTGGTAATATACAGTGCGTATCAAAAAAAACGCAACAGATTGTTATCTCGGAAAAGCACAAAACCAGTGATAACAGCATTGATTTCATTCAATGTACCATAAAGCCACGTGTCTCCTCTTTCTAATGGTTTATCATTCGTTGATATCGGGTCATGGTTCGGCGAGTAATAATTATCCCACCGAACGAAGTTCGAGAGGGATATAGGAAAGCCGTCCGTCCGTCCGTCTGTCCGTCCGTCCGTCCGTCTGTTTGACCGGGCGATAATTCAAATAACGTTTCACGGATTTGATTCAAATTTTATAGGCTTATGCCTTATGGGTGTAGGACCTCTGCTCGAGAAGGAATTTTCAATATGGCCACTGAATTCAAAATGGCCACCATTTTTCGTAAAAAATGTAATCTTTAATAACTCAAATACTAGTTTGCGGATTTGGTAAAAATTTTATATGCTGATGCCTAGGGACACAGTAGATATGTTCGAGTAAAAATTTTCAAGATGGCGGCTAGATTTCAAAATGGCGGCCATTTTTCGTAAAAAAACTTAATCTTTGATAACTCAAATACCAGTGAACGGATTTGGTTCAAATTGTATATGTTGATGCCAAGGGACACAGTAGATCTGTTCGAGATACAATTTTCAAGATGGCCGCTGAAATTCAAAATGGCGGCCATTTTTCATAAAAAAACATTATCTCTGGTAACTCAAATACCAGTGAACGGATTCGGTTCAAATTTTATATGCTTATGCCTAGGGACAAAGGAGCTTCGCTCAAGATGGGATTTTCGAAATGGCCACTGATTGTCAAAATGGCGGCCATTTTTCGTAAAAAAAACGTAATCTTTGATAACTCAAATACCAGTGAACGTATTTGGTTCAAATTTTATATGATAATGCCTAGGGACACAATAGATCTGTTCGAGAAAGAATTTTCAAGATGGCAGCCTGATATTCAAAATGGCAGCCATTTTTCATAAAAAAAGGTAATCTTTGATTACTCAAATACCAGTGAACGGATTTGGCTCAAATTTTATATGATGATGCCTAGGGACAAAGGAGATCTGTTCGAGAAAGAATTTTCAAGATGGCGGCTGAATTTCAAAATGGACGCCATTTTTCGTAAAAAACGTAATCTTTGATAACTCAAATACCAGTGAACAGATTTGGCTCAATTTTAATATGATGATTCCTAGGGACACAGTAGATCTGTTCGAGAAAATTTTTTCAAGATGGCGGCTGAATTTCAAAATGGTAGCCATTTTTCATAAGAAAAAACGTAATCTTTGATAAGTCAAATACCAGTGAACAGATTCGGTTCAAATTTTATATGCTGATGCCTAGAAACTCGAAAAAAATTTAAGATGGCGGCTGATCTTCAGAGGCTTCAGAATGGCTGCCATTTTTCATTTTCATTTTCGTAATCTTTGGTAACTCAACTGCCGTTCGGTGGGATTTGCTACTCCGTGGAGTTGCTGTTTTTCTAGTTCCTTAAGCAAAGTGGGCCAAAATTACCTTGGGACCAAGTTATAAACATCGCGAAAGTCAGTGCATGGGGCCCAATGCAATATTGGAAGAAAACATAAAACCAATGATGACTGCATCCTTTTCGTTCAATGTACCAAAAACCCAAATTACTCCTCTTTACAATGGAATGTCATTCATTTATAGGGAGTCGTGGTTGTCCGAATAATCATTATTTCGCAAAGTGGGGCAAAATTCAGCTCAGACCCAAGTTTTAAACATTGTAAAAGTCAGTGCATGGGGCATAGAGGCTATGGGAAGAAGGTATGGGATGTGTGATATAGACTGTAAAGTGTTTATACTCATACTTTTGCAAAAATACATCCTAATACTAAATTGCCACCACTTCTTAGCACACAAAGATACCCTCATCTCTCCATGCCATGCATGGCTCAGCTCTGAGTCATCTGTGGATGAAGGCAGAGAAAAGCAGCCCATTGGCAATTCTTTCTTGAAGTTTTGTAATATCTGATGAAGGAATGGTGAGCACAGATGCTCCTGAGATAGCTCCAAAAGAAAAAGTCACAACAATTCAAGTCAGGAGAACTTCCATTGGCACTTAGCTCTTGCACTGATTTTTGCAATTTCTGAAACTTGGTCCAGAGCCAATTTAACCCACTGTGTAAATGGAAAGATTTCTCACCAACCATGACAACATGTGAATGGTTGACATATGATTGCAAAGAGGAGGGGCATGGCTTTATGGTACGTTGAATGAAATTGATGTAGTCATCACTAGTTTTGTGATTTTACAAGATAACTGCTTGTTGCGTTTTTTTATACGCCCTGTATAATAGTTCCTACCCTACATGGTAACTTTCCTCAATTATTTGTAGCAAATAGAGAGTAAGAAGGTGGTTCCGATGGAGATGTTAGACATAAACAATGGAGGGGGTCAATCATTTGGCTTTATCCTGTACAGGACCACCATTAGCCAGGGGAAACAAGTAAAACTAACTGGTACAGTGAAAGATAGAGCAATTGTAAGTCATTATCATTTGTTGAGAGTTGGGGGAGAGGATGGCAACCAGAGAGTAATTCTTGTGGATAAGGATGATCATCTGCCTGGTAACATGTCACAACCTGACTTGTTGTAAATTAATACCTACACAAGATCTTCTATAATAAAAACAAATCGATAGTTATGCCACCTTAGACATTGTTACATTTACTCCCTGGTTGACTTCCTCTTCCACGATTCTTATTCACCACTTCACCAGAGAGCCAGGCTTCTCACCAGGTAATTGCAAATCCATATATGGGAGGCCTTATTCACAAAGCGGCGCAATTTTTAGCGATTGCGATATAGCAATGACGTTTTGCGCAGTATTCACAAAAGCGCGATAAAAAACAATAGCAAAGCAATCGCTATAGCGAACACGAAGCAAACACATCACAATTCTGGAATACAATTTTGATTATTCGCTTTTTCCTAAATGAGTGGAGGATAAATAAGGGTTATGTACTGGGAGGTTTTGGATATGGGGTTTATCCAGAGGGAGATATGCATATCTACCTGAGGGACCATAGGGACCGAAGGTAGATGTGCATATCTCACGAGGGATGAACCCGATATGCAAACCGATCGTACATAACTGCTTTATCCTATACCAAGTAAAGTTTTCTAATTTTCTTTCAATTTTTTTTTTATTTTTTCATTTTTTTCACATTTTTCAATTTTTTTTCTATTTTTTTTTGTTTTTTTGAATTTTTAATTTTTTAAAAAATTTTTTCACATTTTTTCTTTTTTTTAAATTTTTCTTATTTAAAAAAAAAAATTCGAAGCGGGAACATATATGCCCTGGAGCGGGAGATATGGCGGGAGATATGGAGGTTCAGGATATGGAAACCTCAAAATCAGAATACGGGATATATCTTACCAACTTATCTCCCTAAAACTCTACTTGGCCTAGGAAAAGCCTGTTTTCCTTGCTCCAATGCCGATGTAACATTAGATACGGTCGTTAATTGGTCACTCTGAGATTATTTACCCGCATAACTGCGAGTATATGGGTTTCATTTGCTTTATTTAAAATCATTATCTATTTAATATTTCAATTAATGATGATAGATATAGAAAATAAAACAATGAATTTGGAAATGTTGAATTAGGCATATGACAGTTCTTTTTCAGCGTTTGTAACTTTTTTTTTTATATGTGATTTATTTCATAGTAAAATAGAATTATTACATACACATGTTGCGGCTTTGCAATGGAGCATTATAAGCCACAATTGAATAATAACAAGATTTTAAAAAGAAAGTATGACAATGAATTTGCAATAAACAAAAGAATAATTGTGTACAAACTTATACAGTTGGTGGTGGAAGAAATACTTACACTCTTGTACACCTTTGAATAAAAGCTGATGTGACCCTTAAAATTTCAATATTAACTTCTTAAGTTTTTACTCTCCATACAAAAACAATGATAATTTGTCTTGCTGGTTTTTAAATGCTGGGTAATTAAAATTTAGAAGAGTTAAAGTGCATCCTCTAAATCTTTAAGATATTGTGATTTAAGGTTACAAGAGAACATGACATGAATGGATGTTTCATTGCTATACCCACATTTGCATGTAGGGGATGGTACATTAGTAAAATTGTGGGCGTAAAAATGGGACTTGAAGATGAGATCACAGCGCACCTTGTTAAGAGAAATTTAAATACGCATGATCTGTTTGAAAATGTTGAGGTTTTGATTGGAATTTGGTAGTCACGACTTCTTCGTGTTATTGATGGAAGATTTCTACGATATTGATTAAAAATGCTCAAAACGTAGGATGGAAGTTTATTGTTGTAAGCTCGGTACATTAGGAAAAGTCTATGCATTTGTCTTCTATCAGATAGCTTAGGCCAATTTAAGCAGTTAAGGACTTTTGTTGAAGATGTTCCGTGTAGTACACCTGAGCAAATGCAGGCTGCTTTGAAGTATAATCAGACTTGCCAACCTAAAATGAATAATTTCGTGAGATTTAAAAAAAATTGCGGTACTTTTACGGGAGTCTTTTTCAAAATCCAGTAGTTTTTGCGGGAGTTTTTACGGGAGATTTTTGAAAAAAACTGTATTTTTCGCGGTAAATTTTAAAAAACGTGACTTTTTTACGGAAGATTTCAGAAAAAACAGGAGTTTTCGCGGTAGGTTCTGAAAAACGGGAGTTTTTATGGTAAATTTCTGAAAAAACAGGAGTCTTTACGGTAGATTCTGAAAAAACTGAAGTTTTTACGTTAGATTTCTGAAAAAACGGGAGTTTTTATGGTAGATTTCTGAAAAAACTGGAGTTTTTACGGTAGATTCTGAAAAAACTGAAGTTTTTACGTGAGATTTCTGAAAAAACGGGAGTTTTTACGGTAGATTTCAGAAAAACAGGATTTTTACGGTAGATTTCTGAAAAACTAGAGTTTTTACAGTAGATTTTGAAAAAACTGGAGTTTTTACGGTAGATTTCTGAAAAAACAGGAGTTTTTACTTTAGATTTTGAAAAACGGAAGTTTTTACGGTAGATTTTGAAAGAACGGAGTTTTTACGGTAGATTTTGAAAAAAAACTGGAGTTCTAACGGTAGGTTTCTGAAAAAACTGGCGTTTTTACGGTAGATTTTGAAAAAATGGAGTTTTTACAGTAGATTTCGGAAAAAGGGAGTTTTTACTCTTCAAATTATAATGCAACTTCAAACCACCACAAAAATTGTTTATTTCATATAATTATTTTAACTGATGTAGTTCAAATTGTCAAACTCTGGGGTGATTTATATTTCAAACTGTCTATATTATTAATATGATCTGTTTAGATTATAGATACAATATTTTATTACTTTGGAAACGAATTGATCAAAGCTAAGTAAAATGTATATGTGGCGTTCACTATATTCTAAGGGCAATCTGCGTGAGGTTCCATTTTTAGGTTCGGTTTTCGCGCATGAGCATTAAATCCAGCGATTTAATTGGTTGAAATTATTATGACGCATGCGCAGTTAATAAATTAATTAGAACTTATAATCTAAGATAGATGTCACTTACGTTCATTATTTCACAGCAGTCCCTACCCATAATGCGCCTTATATTGCAGGAATATTTTGTTTAGCGCCATATAAAAACAAAATGTATTCTCCCGACAGAAGTTTGACAGAATATGAACTGGCCGTTTGTGGACATTTGGTGTGCAAACTTATACCGAATTGATCGCAGAAAAGGAATTTGAATCATGAGAATGAAGTACTTTTAAGTTATTTATGAAAGTATCGATAGTGAACCATGGGAGCCAATCCTTCTTGGAGTAAAAGAAAGAAGCGTGCCTGCAATAATCAAGGTCACAAATTTGTCAAATTCCTTTTAAATAAGGTAGATTTCGACAGCAAAAAAATGGAGATTTTACAGGAGTTATACCAGAAAACGGGAGATTTTACGGGAGTTATACCAAGAATACGGGAGATTTTACAGGAGTTATACCAGAATACAGGAGATTTTACGGGAGATTTCAGCAAAAATACGGGAGATTTTACGGCCATATTTTTAAAAAAAATTACAGGAGATTTTAGTAGAAATACGGTACGGGAGTTTACGGGAGTTTTTACCGGAGAAAACGGTATGGGAGTTTGGTATTTTTTACGGAAAAACAAAAAATTTACGGGAGATTCCCGTAAAAAACGGGAGGTTGGCAAGTCTGATAATTGATCAATGGATTTTAGTTTACTTATATTTGCACAACCATAAAGAATATCGCAATAGTCGAAAATTGGAAGTATGAAAGATTTGAAGATAAATTTCAGGTGTTTTCCATTTAATTTGTTGCTTAGAGATTTAAGTGGGTTTAATATTTTATCAATCCTCTCGGTGAGCTCTGTGATGTGTTGGTCAAAAGTAAGCTGTTTGTCTAGTATGAGGCCTAAATGTTTATGATGATCAACTCGAGGTAGAACATCGATACCAATTTTGAGGTCAGGAACGTTATATTCACATTTCCTTGGGTTTGAGAAAATTATGTCTTTGCTTTTAGAGGCTTTGAAGTTCATTTTCCATGTCTGGGACCATTGGAAAATTGAATTAAGATCAGATTGTAACTTATCATTAGGTGTATCATCACCCCCAGGGGTTATACATGTACTCTAATATACCTCTAAATACCTATGTGCTGCGCAAAATTGGCCATGCTGCACAAACCTACCCAAATTATTTAGAGTGAAGCCCTGGGTATCTACCAAGTTCAAAATCAGATTGCATGGTACATAGGCGATACCTTTGAATTGACTCCTGGCTTTAATTGTTTCCACCCTCTAGCAACTAGAACTATCACCATCTTTATTATCCCAATGAACGATGTTCGAGGGAGATATAGGAATAGTACTACGGCCAAGGCCATTTGTGTCCAAAACACCTAGATTCAATTTGATTCTTGTCGGGGACCCCAAGGCATGTAAAAAAAGTTTGTGAACCCTTGCAAAGCAGGCTCAAAAGTGCTGAGTCAGCAGATTTTATCATTTTCGAGTCGGAGTTTGACCATATGCTTGAAACTATTTAATATCTCATTTGAAGATGTTGCAATTATGATGAAACATTGTTAATATATCAATAAGGCATGTATGAATAATTCCTGAAAGTTTGGGTCTTATCCAACAAAATATGTTAGAGATATGGGATAATTTGTCCCCAAAAGTACATAATTTCTCTTCAAAATTTGTTAATCAGTTGATATTTAATCAGTCATTAAAAAAACAGTAAGGACCTATAGTGTATAAAACCTGATTAAAAACTTCACTGATGATGTCAGCAAATATTTCCTGCATAAGTTTCAATAAAAAGTACATGCATCTAGTTTTCTGATTTTTCTCTTTACCTTCTCCTAAAAATTCAAGAAAGGGGGCGTGGCACCTTACACTTCAGTCGTTGAACTTGTTGCTAGGGTCAAATAGAAAATGTGTATCATTATGGCAAAATGTGTCATGCTAGATAAATCTTAACACTATATGTGACATCATAATATGCTA